CCATCTGATCAACAATCCATATTCAGTTTTATGACATGGGTGCAATTTACACCCTTTACATAGGAGAAGTTTACACCCTTTCCCCCCTGAACATTTTTTAAACGAAATGGAACAAAGAGTTGGGGTTTAGAAATAGTTACTCTTTGCTTCCTTTCCCATTTCTCAGGAAGCTTTGTATTTTAACAAGGAATGCTGCTCAAACTTAAAGGTGTGAAATTCTCATGATGGAAATAAAGGTACCAGTGAGGAAAATATTTGTGGACAGGGGGATGTTCCCAGACCCCTTGAAATTACATCACAAAGCCCTCCTGTTCTCTCCCTATGCTTGCCAACCTGTGTTTTTGTCTTACGAGGGCTCTACTCAGCAAAACGTCCATGGCAAGCCCTTCAGAGGGGAGAATGCCTGCCTCATTTCCATGATAGGAATCGGATCTACTTTGTTTAATTCTTTCTCTTCTCTACTGAAGTGAGTACAGTAAATATTTCTGACTTATAATTCTCTCAGGTACCAGTTAAGGGCCTACAGTAACTGCTCTGAAACATTCCCCTGGAGACGTATCGCTGCGTCGCAGTGGAAGGCCCCAGCTGCTAGATCTACCCTTGCTAGGCTGATAGTTGGAGTACGGTGATCCCTAAGGAAAAAGTTCATTATGAACATCCAAGCCCTAAGAATGAAAACAATGAGGACCGCTACCCCTTTTCTGTGTGTTCCATTGGAGAATGTACAGTACAGAGTTGGATGCGTGTTAATTTGCCTTCCGGCCTGCCCCATAATTTGCTGTGCAGTTTTGAGCAGATTACTTAACCTATCTGTGCCTCGATTTCTATACTTATAGAGACCATAAATCTACCTTCTTAAAGTGATTATTAAACTTGACCAATAATAATAATAATTTTATTATGTGTGAAGTACTAGGCTGAAAAACAAAAGCTAAAAGGGAGTTTTCTAATCAAGTATTTATTGAGAGAACTATTCTAAGTGGGGAATACAAATACATAAGTCATGGTCCCTCCCCTTGAGAAACACAGCCTAGGAGACACAAGACCTGGGCCCAAATAATAAGGCAAGGTAGAAGAGGAAGGAGAAGGGAGAGAAAGTATTGGGTGAGGAACAAAAATGGCATCATGAGGAAAGTGACATTTAAAACGACCAGATGTCCACCTAATTCCACTTCCTTTAAAATACCAAATTGTGTGTGTGTGTGTGTGTGTGTGTGTGTGTGTGTTGGGAGGAGGGTGTCAATACATTTGGTTGATTTGAATTGAGTTTGGCAATACATCCAGTAAGGTACAGTAAGAGAGAAAATTACGTGGTTAAAAGCAGTTTTTCTCTGCCATCTTGGGAATTTATTCCACCCCGCAGCAGCATACAATTCTAGGAGATTTGGCCTTTAAAGTACTTTCTTTTCTTGGCAGCTATCCTAACCTTGTTAAGTGGTATTATCTGTGATTTCTGATTACAGCTTTTATGCTCCTTGCCTGTGCTACTTCTTAAAATGTTTGTTTTTCTCCTTCATTTTTATTTAGAAGTTCCCAAGTGCACATTGGTTCCCTGTCAGGTTCCTTAAGCCCTGTGATTTTTTTTTTTTCCAATCAAAGACTAAACTTCTAAGGGTATAACATTTGTCAGATTTCTCTAAAGCCCTGGGGCAACAGATGAGGTCTGGACGCTCTAAGGCAGGGTTTCTCAGCCTCGGTACTGTTGACATCTGGGGCTTTGTTGTGGAGGGCCTCCCTGTGCCAAGTAGGCTGTTTAACAGCATCCCTGGCCTCTACCCACTAGATGCCTGTAGCACTCCCCACCCTCCCAGTTGTGACAGTGAAAAATGACTCTAGACATTGTCCAATGTCCCCTGGAGGACAAAATGACCCCCGATTGAGAACCATTGCTCTAAGGTAACCTCTACTGTAACCGTGGATGCCATGGGCATAGAGAGCAGCTACCAACCATTCTGTGGGAGCCACCTGATGGCCTAAGGCAGGGGTAGGCCATTTGTCAGAAAAGTAGGATGCTAAGTTGCTGACCTGGATGCTTAAATGCTCAGCCTGGGTTTTGGCAGGAGTGGAGGGTGGCAGCCCAGACTAGGCCCCAGCAGGGGAAAAATCTACCCTCCTCTAAAACCAGTGCGTCTCAACCCTTTTTATCCCAGGACCCCTTTACACACTTAAAAGTTATAGGGAACCCCCAAAAGATTTTGTTCGTATGTATTAAGTCTATTAACACTTAACATATCAGAAATTAAAACTGAAGAATTTTAAAATAATGTATTAACTCCCTTAAAAATAATAAACCCAATGTATATTAACATAAATAACATACTTTTTATGAAAAATAACTTTTTAAAAAAATTAGTGAGGAGCGGCATTGTCCTATTTTTGCAAATAGCTTTAATGTCTGGCTTAATATAAGAGAATAGGATTCTCATTTCTGCTTCTTCATTCAATGTGTTGTGATATTACACGTCATGTAGCCTCCAGGAAACTCCACTGTACATCATGAGGGAATAAGAGTAAGAAAGACAAAGAATGCCTTAGTATTATTACAAAAACAGTTTTGACCTCACAGACCCTATGATGAAAAGTTTTCAGGGATCCTCCAGGGGTCCTTGGACCACACTTTGAGAACCATTGTTCTAAACGAACATGTCACACTTTTATCAACCTAGCTCACTTAAGGGTTGACAAATTTTTTAAAACCCAGGATCTCTAGGGAGAGGTCTCTATTTGGACCTTAGTGTGAGGGCCTTTAATCAGACTGCTCTGTTCCTGAGCTCTAGAAAGAGCAGCTGTACTAAAGAAACTGAATGAAGTAATTTGAAGAGTATAGTAGCTTGAGGGAGGTCGGGGCCTGGTAAGGGCTTAGAGAGCAGCGTGAAGACACTGGGCCCTTTACAATAAGAAAAAAGGAAGCACAGAAAGGAAGAAAAAAATGCTTTGTAATTTTTCCTGAGGTCCTGATGGAGTCAGTCACCCATATGCCATTGGAAAGCATCTCCCCTGCAACTTAAGCCGTCTGTCCTAATCCTTAGCCTGGGTCCCAGTGCCTAGCTTAAGGCACAGCACTGGAAGAAAGGTGGTTGGTGATAAAGTAAAAAATAATAGGGGGAAAGGAGAGAGAAGGAGGCCAGACAGTGGGGATTAGGGGAGAAGGCAGTTCCAACACTGATCTCAGGGCCATAGATGGCCTGTCTGTCCTTTAAAAGTCTAAGACTTAACTTTCACTGCCAGTAATATCCTAAAGAGGCTCCAATTTTTATTTGAGTATCTTTTGTTGCTTTGCATGCCAAGCAAGTCTGGCTAGCATTTGAGAAGCCTCAGCTTCTGAGCATTGATTGAAGGAATTGTTTAAAGTATAAAAGGACCTCAGTTTCCTGGTGAGAAACAAAATGCAGACATTCTGGCTGCCAAGCTCTGCACTACCCAAGAAAGTGTCACCTCTGTGACACTAAAGGTTTACAGTTTTTCAAATCCCAAGTACTCTGAAATTGCCTATTATTTTAAAATGATGATATGTTTCTCAGAATTCTCAAGATGAGATGGTCCTTCTGCTCTCAACAGCGAAGGGGAGAAGAAAGGAAATAGGCTTTGGGGACTTGGTCTGATAGAGGCCAGATCTCTGTGACAACAGAAGTCTTGTCAATGACTGGATATGTTAGTGGGTCCAAGTTACCCAAAATAAGCTCAGAAATTCTATGGAATGTTCATAGTTACATAAATATATCTGTTTTCCTCCTGGTAAATTGGTGGCATTCAGAAAAACGTGCACTAGTATTGGCAATATTGTTCACGTGAATCTGAACACAGAGTAGTTCATTGCCTCATAATAGAAATATGCCACCCTCTGTAAATAATGCATTTTTAATCTAAAGTTATGAGAGATACTTTATTTAAGATTCATTAGCTCTAGAAAGGAGACAGAGTAAAGGTCATTATTCCCATTTTACAGCTGAAGAAATTTCTAAGAGAGAAGATCGTTATCCTAGAACCAGTAGGGTATCCTGCGTTTGCCCAGTGGCTCTGAAAGAAGTCCTCACACTTTAAGCGGTGGAGGATGAGGGAGCAGTGGGCTGGCCTCCTGGGGACTTATTAGCCTCTTAGTTGAGGAAGTCTTATCTCACTAGAACAGCTTATCTAAGCTTCCTCCACAGCGCTACCCATAGGGGCAGTCAGCTTGCCATTTCAGGTCATGCCATATTAATAATCCATTTTTAAACAATCTAGTTCACCTTTTGGTGATCTGAGTCGCTCACAGACCTATGACCATATCAGAGAGACAGCTGATCAGTAACTCAAAAACAATCCATAGACCAGTTCTCCCATTGTTGAAAGTACTCTTATCCAAAACTCAGAGGTCCACGTGATACCTTTAGTACTAAGACAAGTATGTGCATAAGAATGCAGTTTGTGAAGACATGTATGTAGTACAGTTCTTTCTGAGCTCATTTTCAGCTGGGCAACAGATATGTATAATAAAGGACAACTCATCAGAAGGCATGTTATTCACGTAGGATCTATCTTCTATTCTGTTCGGATTCATCCTTTTGTCTCCACATGTGGAAACGCCTCCCCTTCTGGTCCCGTTCCCTTCCCCACTCCTCCATAAAACTTGCTTTCTGTCTGGAAGTACAACAAGACACCCAGTTAGATCAAACCTAACATACCTCCGTCACAAAGCTACTGCAAGCTGCCGCCGACAATTGTCACTTGAGGGGAGACCCTCCTCACCCCACACAGCCTATCTGAGGAGTGCCTTTTTTCTATCCTCATTATTTAACAGTGTGTGCCGATTACTCAAAGCGATATGGGCAGGCCCTGGTAAATATAGCGTTGCTGTAGTGTTAATTTTTATAAGGTAATGCTCAGGTTGCCTGCAGTGTCTAAAATTACTCTGTGGCCAGGGCCCCCTGCTTTATCGCTTTCTATAGTTTTAAAGTAGTTTGAAGCTTGAATAACATAAAATAACATAATATAATGTTATTTATGTTATTTCCCACGTGAAGAACGCCTGTAAACCTTGCAGTATTGAAACTCAGTGAACAAGGCATCTTAGACAAGCTGAAAAACAAATGGTGGTACGATAAGGGGGAATGCGGAGCGAAGGACTCCGGGAGTAAGGTCAGTCGCTGAAGGTCTTTTTGTACTGATTAGCAATCACATTTTGAACCACTGTTTATTTTCTACCCTAAAACGGCTTTCCTTCCCAACAGACACTCCCTGACACAGTGGGACCCCTTTATAACACCAGCGCTGAGGGAATGAGGCAAACACCAGTCTCAGAGACCTGCCATGTGACATCAGTCATCGACTCCGGCGAGCTATCCTTACGATTAGGGAACTCAATCTGACCCACCATGTTCCCAAAGCAGTAAAATCACGAGCTGTGTTATAAGGGGGTTTTACTGTATTTCACATTTCGAAAGTTCAAAGAGAAAACAGAACAACAACGACAACCCAAAAAACAAAAAATGATCCAGTTGTGACAGTACTTTTTCTTAACCTCTTACAGTGTCAGAGACTTTGTAGTTGTAAATGCCTTTGGTTATGAATATATTATGTCGATCCCACCTGAAAACAGTCAAAGAAATCAATAACAAAGACTGGTCTCTGTAAGCAGAATGATTAGCCAGCCTCCTCTCAGCTGCTGTCGTATTGAGTTCAGCATCTATTTGGATCTCGAATCTCATTAAGTCTGTCACACTTCTCTCTTCCAAAGGTGTCACTTGAATCTCTGTACGTAATACTTTTAAAATTCAGTCGCATGCTCCTTAAGGGTATACCTTCTCAGGATAACATCACATTGATAAGCATGAAACACTCTTCCCCGCCTCCTTCCTGCCCCCCTTTGCTCCCCTAAGAAAGTTCTTTTTTAGTTTCAATTTTTGCCTTTCCTTTTTTTGAACTAATATTGTGGTATCAGTTAATTCATTTCATGAAATGCCACTCATTTTCCTTGTGCAGTGAACCATTTTGCTACTGGTTTTCTACATCCCACAGCAGGGAATTCTTTGAAACTTAAATACATGGAACTTGAAACTTTGTTGCTACGGCTTACATGGGTGATGTAAAGGACACTTTCTCCCCCATCAAAAACCACATACATATAAAAATCTAATGGGAGAGGGCAGGTTACCAGAAATTGGTCCTCTTCCTAATGGACTGTGGAACATCCTTGCAGACAGCTTCACCTGCCTCCTTAAGGAGATGATCCATTGTTTCCTAAGTTATAGAAATTCTTACCACTTGTCTAGCTAACTGTCACTCATCCTAGAAGAGTGACTATTTGCAAGGTTGTTGTGGACATGAGGCATGTCCCTACCCCTCTTCCCGACCATGCGACTTAATTCCAACTGGCCTTTTTATTAAGGTAAACAAGTGCAGGACTGGCTCCTATGAAAACGGAATCAGGACATGGCCATATTGTCTTTACATTTAACTCTTCACATGATACCAGGACTGGCTGAGCCACAGAGTGTTGAGTGTCAGCCACGGCCGTCGTCTGGTCTCTGTGCTGTCATTTGAATGAGATACTCAATTCACTGGCTTGACAGTTTGGGTTGTATTCAGCAGCAAAATGGTTACATTCCCTCTAAAAAGACTACAAGATGCTACTTTATTTTACTTTCTTCAAAGAAAGGCTCCTGGCCCTTGCTGTGTCCTACCTCCAGGTAGGGCTCAAGGCACCAACTTTTTTCCTTCCGTCGTTCAGCAGTTCAGTTTCTGCTTTTTCATACAGGCAGATAGCTTAGTCAGATTTGCGGTTTGACCTGAAAGTCACTGACCGGCTTCCTCGATGTTCCCCCCATTTTAAATAGAGAGATGAGTATAGGGGTGTTTTGTTTTGGTTTTTCTCCCTAATTATTCTCTGCATTCCCTGGAGTAAAAGCTGAAAATGAGCCGGATTTGTTTCAATCATCAGCCTCCTGGAAAAGTCTTCTGATTTGTATGGAGCCGATTCAGGACCCAGCGGGTCCTTAAACTCTCAGGAAGAGGGAACAGAGCCAATTCTTCGTGCTGTGCCCTTGTTCCCGCAGCACAAACACTTGCTGCTTTGAGGATGAGGCCTTAGCAACTAGTCCCCAAAGAAGCAATTTCTCAGCCACTGGGTGAAAGGGGAGAGTTAATCCTTTTAAAACAAACCCTTATGAAGTAACTCCCCAGATATGAGTATCAGGAACCTCTAACATTCTCACCTGTCATCTTAAAGACCAGTTGTTGACAAGAACAAGGGAGAAAGAGGTGTTGCGGGGCAGAGAGGGGAAAGAGTGCTTCAAGTTCCCAAATGAAAAGAGTGTTACATTGACAGAGATGATGTCACAGCTCAACTCTGGCAAATGGTGTTTATCAAAGCTGGCAGAGGACTAAGTTGTGCTTGTGTTTCCACTTTTGCTCCCATGGCCGACTGCTGTTTACTTAGTTGTTGACACCATCTTGAGGTACTAATGGATTTAAGGAGTCAAACTAAAAGAGCATTTAGGGGAGGATCACAACTGTCAACAGAAGCACCATCTACCATCTTGCTGGCCATTGTGAAACATCAGCCAGTTGCCAGAGTTGAGTCATAGCATTTACATCAATGTTTAGCTGTTTTACAACTTAGAACTATCATATACTGTTGCAATGCATTATAATGTCCCATTGTCTTTGTTTTCTCCAAGAACTAATCACCTTGTTCATTTCTCTTAGGACAAGACCAGCGCTCTGAGCCTGAGCAATGTGGCAGGCGTTTTCTATATACTTGTCGGAGGTCTGGGGCTGGCCATGATGGTGGCTTTGATAGAATTCTGTTACAAATCACGGGCAGAGTCCAAACGCATGAAACTCACAAAGAACACCCAAAACTTTAAGCCTGCTCCTGCCACCAACACTCAAAATTACGCTACATACAGAGAAGGCTACAACGTGTATGGAACAGAGAGTGTTAAGATCTAGGGGTACGGTTAAGGTCTAGTAAACTAATCAGCTTATGTTACTGTATGTCAATCTCTTCTTCTTTTCTTGTTGTCTTTCAGTTTGGTTTGTTGTTTCAGGAATTGTCTATTCTTTGCAACCGTTTGATTCTTTGAAAATAATGGTTGTGCTTTCTTGTCAGACAGTGGTGCTTTCCTAATAGCATAGTTGTAATTAAATTGTGGTCTGCGACCCAAAAGGAGAAATTCTCTAGAGCAGCACTGTTCAGTGGGAATATTTGCAAGCCACATGTGAACCACATGTGTAATTTTAAGTGCTCTTCTAGACATTTTCTAAAGTAACACAAGCAAAATTAATTTAATGATATATTTCATTTATCCCAGTATATTCGAAGTATTATCATTTCAACTTGTTATCAATGAAAAAAGTGAATGAAGTGTTTTACATTCTTTTTATATATATATATATATATATATATATTTTTTTTTTTTTTTTTTTTTTTGGCGGTATGCAGGCCTCTCACTGTTGTGGCCTCTCCCGTTGCGGAGCACAGGCTCCGGACGCGCAGGCTCAGCGGCCATGGCTCACGGGCCCAGCCGCTCCGCAGCATGTGGGATCTTCCTGGAACGGGGCACGAACCCGTGTCCCCTGCATTGGCAGGCGGACTCTCAACCACTGCGCCACCAGGGAAGCCCTTACATTCTTTTCTTCATACTAAGTCTTAGAAATCAGGGGTGTCTTTTATACTTATGGCACATGTCAATTCACACTAGCCACATATCAAGTGTTCAATAGTCACATGTGGCTGGTGACTACCATATTGGACAGTGAAGCTCTAGAGAAAGCAGCTCTCTGGAACTGATGTTAAAATGAGGAATGGAAATGGGGAGCTGCTACCTTGAGAAAGGTAGTGCTTCTATAGGGGTGTGGTGGATCTCTTAGTATAAGCCTGAGACAATTTCTTTAATCTTTGAGTTCCTTTGTTGTCCCTTTCTTGGAACTGATGTTCATTGAGGTAAGTGTCTCCCAAAGGACAGTCTAGGTTCCCTGCTGCTGGCTGTTCCCAAATTCATACTTAAATGAACCTGACTGATGCCACCTTGATTCTGGCAGCTATAGCTAAAACTCACCAATAACTCAGACATGTTCAAAGGCAAGCTTGAGTTAGGATAACATCTCCATTCTGGAAGTGTTTAAGAGAAAATAGTTTTGTTACCTTCACGTGCATCTGTCATCAGTAACACACCTATCCGAAGCGGAACAGAACAATTAGAAACTTCGTAGCCCTTATTCTAGGTAGATTTTTGACCTCTTGAGTCAATGTCCATGTGTTCGAATTTCTACAAATGCATCTGTGTTTTGACCTTATATTTCATGGTGCGGATCTAAATTCAGCCAATTTTTAAATAATATTTCATCCACATAAATCATTTGTCCTCACCATGGAAGGCATTATCTTGTTTGATGAAGTTGCTGGTTGTTCTTTCCTGCTGCAGGCTGCAGCCTTTTGCCACCGACTAACCCACTAACAAAGTGTTCCCATTGCATTGTTGAATGGACAATACGTGGATTCATCTGCAATTAGCACTGTTTGCATGCAAGCATTTCATGTTCCCGTGTGCTTAAAATATTTTACTCTTGAGTAGGTTATACAGGCCCATTACAATTGGGGTCATGTTATTGCTTTCTCATAAGAGAGTACATGGGTGATTTCAGCCTAGCTTACTTATCCCAAATTCTGAGATATTGGCATCCAAAGAAATAATACACCTGAAATCTGCATATCGGTTTTCCAAGTGCTCTCACATCTATTGCCTCAGTTGAGGTAATGGGGCAGAAAATATTTCCCCTTTCAGGTAACGAAGTGCCAGCCACATCAAATGACTTGCTAAAGGCAACACAGCTAGGCAGTGGCAGTTCTGGGACTAGAACCCAGCTCTTCTTCCTCCTGTAGCTGTATTCTTCACTAAACCATGCCACCGCTCTCTACGCGTGGCCCGGTGTTCTCCAGAAACCTTGAAACCCCAGTGGGATCCTGTCAAATGCAGAGCAGATCCTAAGTCTATGTCTCACTTCTTTACAAAAATGTCTTGAGAGACTTCACCAAGCCTCCATTTGCCCTCCTTCTTATGCACTTGACATGAGGGTGTATATTCAATCGCTCCTACGTTCCCCAAAAGGAAGCTTTCTGTAACAGGGCTTAGGGTCACACAGCCTCCAGACCCTCTTGATTATCAGCCATTCCATCTGAGAATCTATGTCCCTGCTCCCCAACTCCTACAGCCTCAGTCTCTCATTAAAGGCCCAGAGCAGTGCTTCCCAACTGGCAATATGCATATGAATCACCTGGGGATCTTATAAAAATGCAGGTCCTGAGGCAGCTGCTCTGGGATGGGGCCTGAGGTTCTACAGTTCTCACAAGCTCACAGGTCGTGTTGATGCTGCTGGTCTAAGGAGTAGTAAGATTCTAGAGAAAGTTGTCTCAGAGGATGTAACTTAAGGAATTGAAGGAAGGGGGGAGGGAGAAAGGGAAGGAGAGTGACAAAAAGACAGACACAGAGGAGGGGAGAGAGGGAGAGAGGGAGACCAAACTGGGATCAGCAATTTGGGCAGAATGCTACAGTCCTGAAGTGGAGGCCCAGAACATTAAACCTGAGGGAAGAGCATAAGAAATTAATTTGCCACAACTTCTGGTACTCTGGCTTTCCTTTCGTCATCTTGGCTGACCCATTTTGTGAAGCAAAATTCGGGCTAACTGAGGCAAAAGTCACACTCAAATAGACATCGATGCCAACGTGGTTACAGCCCAGTTAGCTAGCACCTTGGCAGTCATCCCTAGGATGAAAACCTGGGGAAAGCCTCTGCAAACAAGCCATTGCAAAGTTCAATGTCATCTCAGTGATGGCCAGTGTTACATATGAAGACAGTTTTAGGATAAAAAGACCATTTTTTCCCCCCTGTGAAAGTAGAAACTACTTATTAAAAAAAAAAAAACTAAAAGTGTTGATATATTTCAAAAGAACTGTCCGATTTATTTTTCAAGTTGATTTCAGGAAATACCTAAAATAGGTAGTTTAGAGCCACATTGGATTCTTTCTTATGAAAGAAATGTGGACAGAGTGGCGTGAGGGTGCTGAGTTTTCCCATAGTGGAGAAGAAAAAAAAATGGGCTCGTGAATTAATGACCAAGTTGATTCCCCCATATGGTGATCCTAGAAGGGTTGAGACAAGGATTTGTACTATGGGTATTGTTCTGGGCCTGAAAAATATAGGAATCCATGGTGTAGTACGATTGATCTGAGAGAATGTGGGATATACTCTGCTCTACATGGCTTCACTTCTCCTTTCTGAGCAGGGACACCTAAAGAGCAAATGTCTGTTTAATAAGTGATGCCAAGATATCATCAATGGTGCCCTTAGGAGGGATGGATATATGTGTAAATGTGTAGGTCATGGAGGGAAAGACAAGGAGGAAAAGCCTCAGAGGATGCCAGAAAAAACCTGACATGTGTCAGTCGAGGCACAAAGCAGGCTGAGCAGGAAATAGAAACCACTCTGCTGTCCTCAGCCAGTGTGGTGATGTAACGTTAGGGGAATGTTGGTCTTTGCTCACTCATCTTTTATTTCCCAAGAAGTTCTGGAATATCTCCTAGTGCCTTCTGACTTATTACCTAGTTATTAGGCTTCCAGTTCTCTGAGTTGGCCTAGATCTGTCAGGGTCTATTCAGGGGCGCAGAGATGGAGAAGCACCCTGAGATTTTACTTTTATTGCTATTATCAGAGCCAGCCTTAGCAGTTTATGGTACCAGTAATTCTTCAGGAAGAATGACTCAAGTGCAAATCAGCTGCAAAAATATGGTCTAGGTGGGATCTAGTTAACAAAAAGACATCCTTGAAAGAGAAGGGGGTCATCTCTCATTTGCCGTGGCTGAGAGTAGAGTCCGGGTTATTGGATTCATTGTGGGAACACACGCCTCAGATCCAGCACCCACTGGGGAGCAGACGGCCTCTTGATGATCTGCTGCCTGTTTGGGTTACTGACCACCCACTGGAAGTGGGGCCCCCAGGATGCCTGGGCAGGTGACCAACCGTCAAGCGTTCCAGATTCACTGCACCCTAGGGCTCACTCTGCTCATTGTTTTAAGAAATTCTTTCCCATTTCCTCATTGCTGTTCAGAACTACTTCTGGCTTCTTTGGTTTCTTCAATATTTTTGAAATCCTTCTTATTTTCAAGACCTCAAAATGCCTGAGGTTAAGGAAAAAGATTTCCATTTTTCCTCTAATACAGTTCTGTTTAGTCTTCCTAGAAAATATTAACTTTGTTCATGCCGCCCATTTCGAAAGAATCAATTTTCCTTCTGCAGCCATAGACATTCTTGCTGGGGAAGCGTTCCTGCTTTAAAGAGTTCATCTTATGTTAAGTGGAAAACATTCTAGATAACTGAAGGGGTGATGTTCTTTGTTCCCAGAGGACCTTTCCTTCAGTGGTAATATTTCATCTACCCCCATTTAAAAACAGGAAACAGAGGCATTGAGAGATTAGGTGGCTTTCCCAAAGTTATGCGGGTGGGAAATGACATCCCATGGCCAATAGAGAGAGAAGGGGGTTGATCTTTCTGTCATAGACATAAGCTTTCCCCAAACTTCTGAGATAGATATGACTCTGGACCATAGTGATTCCAAGTAAGAGGTTAACCCACTTCTATGTTAGTCTTATTCTGCTTCTTTGGGGCTTTTGGCCTTCAGATGCATCTTTGACATTCTTCTTACAGATACTTTTATTCCAGGGCCAGTGGTAGATAATGATCATGTCATTCCTTTGGGATAAAATTCAGCATTAGCTCATGAGAAAAAGAAGGGTCCCATTAGTGTAGAGGGAAAGGATGGAGAGGATGGATGTGAGCTTGAAAAGGAGGCATGAAAGTGGTCTTAAGTTTTCAGAGTTGGGGGCAAATGAACTCCCTGCACTAGTTAATGCCTCCAAAAGGAGGGCAGCATCAACATTTCAATCAGGCCCATAATATCAAGGCAAACACCCCCATGGAAGCCAATCCCCTTCGTGGGCATCACTGTTCTGGCCTCTTCCTGGAATGTGCTGTCTCTTTACAGTCCATGTGCTATTTTCTGACTTTAATAACTAAGGTTGTAGATATGAAGAGAAACAAGCTGTGACCTTTCTGGCAATGAGCAGTCAAATGGATTTCAATTGAGCGAGCCGTAAAACACTGCTTCCACTCTGTCCTAGGTAAACAGTCCTCTGTCACAGGTTCTGCAATCAGAATATATTCTACAGTGTCGTTGTCCTGAGTATCTATATTGAAATGCCACGAAGGCTTTCTAGTATACCTACACCCTAAGTGATGAACGCTTTTTGAGTTAGACATCATGCAGTGCCCGTGTATTCCTTGGTACAATGCATAGTAAAAAAAAAATGAACCTAATTTAACCTATTGCAAAGCATTTGCTTCAAGTGAAAGAATTTAAACAGACCTGTTGGCTAAAGCCAATCAAGCAGGGTGCAGCCTCAGAGATGACAGTGTGAGAAAACGGCCGTGGTTTTTGTCCAGGATAGACTGAGCCATAGTAAACTTCCATTCCCAATAGAAAGCCCATTCAAATTTAAATTTCCCCCTTGCCTTTGCAGGTCCCTTCCCACTGGAGGCAAGTGACAAGAGGAATCACCGAAAACGTGGCTGCTTCAAGGATCCTGAGCCAGATTTCACTCTCCTTGGTGTCGGGCATGACACGAATATTGCTGATGGTGCAATGACCTTTCAATAGGAAAAACTGATTTTTTTTTTCCTTCAGTGCCTTATGGAATACTCTGAGACTTGCGACAATGCAAATCATCATTGAAATCTTTTTGCTTTGCTTGAAAAAATTAAAATAAAATCAACAAAAAAATGGACATGCAAGATTCCAGTATGCGAAAACTAATCTTATTTTAAAAAAAGTCAATTCAACAAAAGCCATCCTTTGATACCACTGCACAGTATACAAACACCATGTTCTTTAACACACACACACACAGACAAATTTCTTCTAGGCGTTTCTTCTAGGATCTGCTGACCAGATGTTCTTGGTATCTCCTGTTGGTGGTGATGTTCTGTGTGCCCTGTTTCCTTTCAACTTTGCTGAAATGTGTATATCTTTAGAAGTAAATGCAACACTTAAGAAAACTGAAACACTTTGGAAAAGGGACTGAACAGTGACTTCTGTGTTTTGAAATGGTTTTGTGAAAATGCTTTGCTAACTTCCCACTCGGTGAAGGGATTCACATAGCTTTCGAAACTGACTTGTGTGTAGCAAGGGACGGGCACTATTAAGCATACCTCTCGGTGCTTTCCTAAAAATGGATCCCGGGGCTTTCTGAGAAGCCTGGAATTTCAGCTCACAGATCTGTTTTTCTTGCTTCAGTGTGCGTTTTAAGTCACGATAGCTGAGTATTTAGCACTGAGGTGAGGGAAATGCTGCCGACACTCCCAAATGTGTTTGGAATATCTTTCTCAGAAACAACACTGTGTTTAGCTCTGCTTTCTCTGCTAAGTATGCCTTTCAAGCGCACACCACGGGGACAGGACCGCATTGCAAGGCGGGCCAGTGGGTTCAGACCACAGTTCTCATCTGACTTTTACTCTTGCTAGGTCTGTCTTACCAGCTGTTGCCTGTGATTGCCCATGGCTCTCCGTCAGACTGCATGTGTCCTTTTCTAGTTTGCAAAGACTAAAATGCATTCCCAAACCTACTGCTAAACCGAGGGCCTCAGCCTCATTCCCAGGTCCATGCTTGGAGCAGTCTCTCTACTGACTCCGAAGATGGCTCCACTGCTCCACGGGCTATCAAGTAACTAACTGCGTACCTGCCATTGGCATCATCAGATCAGTCAGAGGAAATAGTCTCCGCTCACTAATTACCTCCGATAGAACGACGTATGCTTTCTGTAGTTCAGTAGTTTGCTCTCATCAGTGACGTGCACTGGGAAGTTTCCAGACAGTGAAAACTGGGAGCTCAAATTCATTTCCCAAGTGTGACCCTTAGATGCTCTAGTTGACTTGCTGCACATTTGCTCGTCTTCAGAAAAGAAAGGTATAAGTCTCATTTCCAATGAAAAGTTTCCGGAAAAGTGTAATATAAACTTTCATTCCAAAAAATTGTGTCATAAGCAAACGACTCACCTGTCAAATTTTAAATGGTATTGAACAAAAAAGGAAAGCTGTTGTGTTTTTGTTTTGTTTTCACGAAACTGATTTTTCAACTTCTGAATGCTATGATGTTCCGGCGCGGGAAGCTAACCAACCTACACACAAACTTCTCATAGGCACTGTTTAAAGAGAAGTGGATGTTAGTTGACTCAAATCAATTTTTCAGAGAGGAAACTTCACTGGGAATGAAGAGGCGGGTAAATTGGTTTGTTATTTTTTAAAAACTTGCATGTTTAAAGAAACATTGATTGCTTCAAATTTCTGCTACTAACTTCAAGCTACGGGAGTTTGGCGGTAGTCACTTGAAGATTTTTTTTTCCAATTATTTTCTTTTTGTTGTTAAAGCTGTACTTCAGTGAACAGAAACATTGCCAAGCAAACTAATGGCCGTAAAAGCGTAAATTGCATGTGTGGGCGTAAATTACGGAGCCTCATTGCCATGAGGTATTGTACAAAGTTTTAATACATTTTGTAAATAAAACTGTAAAGAAAGAATTCTGTCTCTGGGCTTTGGCTGTTTAAACTTTACTTGGGTGCAGGTGCCAAGAAGTTATTAGTCACCAATTTACTTCCCACCAGAAGCCTTACCAATGATGTACAGTCATGTGACAGGTGATCTTCACAAAGGATTATGCCTCTCCCCACCCCAACTGCAGGATCACCACCAGTGATCATCTCCTCCACCCCTTGGGACCCTCTCCTCAGACACTTGCCTTGACCCTAACCCTGATCTCCCATCCTCCCATTGCCAGATCTGGCCTCCTGAGGAAGTGCCCAAACTCAGGATTGATGATCTTCAAAAACACTTCCGGGCTTCCCTGGTGGCGCAGTGGTTGAGAGTCCGCCTGCCGATGCAGGGGACGCGGGTTCGTGCCCCGGTCCGGGAAGATCCCACATGCTGCGGAGC